CTCAGGCAATCCACTCACCTCAGCCTCCCAAAGGCGCGGGATTACAGGCTGAGCCACCAAGCCCGGCTCAGAATTTATTTATTAAAAAATTGTGTATTTATTCTTACATGTCTAAACTTCAGTTACCTTTAAAGTACTCTTTGCTGGGCACAGTGGCTCAAGCCTGTAATCCCAGCATTTTGGGAGGCCGAGACAAGAGGATTACCTGAGCCCAGAGGTTCGAGACCAGCCTGGGCAACTTGGTGAGACCTCATTTCTACAATAATAAAAAAAAAAAATTAGCTGGGCATGATGGTGCATGCCTGTGGCTCCAGCTACTTGGAAGGCTGAGGCCTGCCCAGCAGGTTGAGCCTATGGTAGCCGTGAGCATGCCACTGCACTCCAGACTGGGTGAGAGTGAGACTTTGACTCAGAAAAGAAAGTTGCTTGGGGCGAGATTGGGTGAATAGGGTGGGGCATGAGGGTCATGCCATCTTTGGTCCAAAACTGCTGAACACTCAGCCCAGTGTGGGCAGGTGTGTTGTCATGCTGAAAGAACCCGTCATTTGTTTGCCAAATCATGACACAACCCTCTCAAAACTTCGGTTGACTATTTGATTAGGAGAAACAAATTCCAAGTGTACTCTAAGGGGCCACCCTCCAAAAGAAAATTCCAGTTTTTTGGTGTCCCCCCTTGTATGTGTTCTTAAAAACTCCCTAGGTGATTCCAGCCAGGGTTGACAATCACCATCCTAACAGGTAATGGCTTAGAGAACTTTTTTCTGACCAAAGCCTCCCTAAGCATCAAGATGTAAGTAAGGCCTATAAAAGTTAGTTGCAGGCCGGGTACATCGGCTCAAGCCTGTAATCCCAGCACTTTGGGAAGCCAGGTGAGAGGACTGCCTGAGCCTATGGGTTCAAAAACAGCCTGGGCAACTTGGTGAGACTTCCTCTCTACAATAAATCAAAAAATTAGCCGGGTGTGTGCCTATAGTTCCGGCTACTTGGAAGACTGAGGTGGAAGGATCGCCGGAGCCCAGTCAAGGCTGCAGTGGCCATGAGTGTGCCACTGCACTCCAGCCTGGACAATAGAGTGAGACTCCAACTTTTAAAAAAAAAGTGCAGAAATTACCAAAGAGAAGGATAGGGTCTTGGTATCAGGTATAGACTCCCATTCTTGAACCAGGCTGCGTGTAATGGGGAGAAACCCATGACCTTAGCCCTGGAGCTCTGATTCCCCACCTGGCTTCATCAGAGGCCCATGGGCTGCCAGGAAAGCCAGGCTCAGCCTCAGTCCCAGCCATGTGGACTGCTGAGCCCCAGCCTCTTACTGTCCCCAGAGCTGCTGTATGAGGATGTGTTTGCTGTGTGGGAGGTGATCTGGGCTGCCAGGCACATCTCATCGGAGCATTTTGTCCTGTTCATCGCCCTTGCCCTGGTGGAGGCCTACCGAGAGATTATCCGTGACAACAACATGGACTTCACTGACATCATCAAGTTTTTCAATGGTATGCCTGGGCAGAGTTGGTGGGTTCTCAGGAATTCTGGGGTCCCTTCCCTTATAGGCAGGATGTCAAGAATCCAGCAGGTAGGCCAGGCTCAGTGGCTTAGCCTGTAATCCCAGCACTTTGGGAGGCCCAGGTAAATGGATTGCCTGAGTCCGTGGGTTTGAGACCAGCCCGGGCAACTTGGTGAGACCTCGTCTCTACAATAAATTTTTTAAAAATTAGCTGGGCGTGGTAGCATACGCCTGTAGTTCCAGCTACTTGGAAGGCTGAGGCAGAAGGACCACCTGAGTCCAGCAGGTCAACGCTGGGGTGGCTGTGAGCGTGCCACTGCACTCCAGCCTGGGCGACAGTGAGACTCCAACTCAAAATTAAAAAAAGAATCCAGTAGGTAGAAGTAGCTCAAGGTGATCAGCCACCAGCTCCTCCCAGCCTACTGTGCTCTCTGGACCTCCCTACAACTATCCCTCTTTCCCATAGAACGGGCTGAGCATCATGACGCCCAGGAGATCCTGCGGATTGCCCGGGACCTCGTCCACAAGGTGCAGATGCTCATAGAGAACAAGTGAGAGTTGGGGCCTAGAGGCACCTGGACTCCAGCAGGGAGAGGTGCAGGGGTATCGCAGCGCAGACTGTCCCAAGCCCCAGCTGACCCTGCCTGCCCAACTGTGTCCTCAACAAAGTGATTGTGAGCCTGAAATCTGACTCTGGGTGGTGCTGACCCTGCAGAGAAAGTCGAGGGCCAGGATGCCCTCAGATCAGGGCTGAGATGGGAGGATCGGCCTCAGGGAGCACCTGCCTTGGGGAATACCTCCTCTGCTCCCCTCTCAAACATCTGGGAATAGCCCCACAGCCTGGACTGTTGCCCATGAGTCAATCGGGGCCCTGTAAAGTTAGCAGGGGCTATAGTGGCCTGGGCCTTACCTAGCAAGGGTTGCATAGAGCAGGGGGCTCTGTGCTGTTCTCATCTGGGAGTCCCTTTGCAGACCCAGTGCATTGTGGATGCAGCCCCAGTGAGAGCACCCAGAACAGCTGCCAGTTCAGGCACGTGTCCTGGGTGCAGGAGACCTGGGCTAACTTCCAGGCCCTCCTCTGAGACTTCTGGGGCCCTGAGATTTCAGAGAATGTGGGTCCTGGGTGGAAGCAGCCCACCTCAGCAGCACTGCCACTGCCTTTGGCCACCTGAGATGATCCCTAGGGCTCCTTACCCTGTACAGTACACCCATATGTATCTGTACAGTCTCACTCTTGCCACCCTGCCCTTGCTTTGTGCACTACTTCCCTGAAAAATGTGGATAAGTGACACTCTTGCCAGTTGGATGATCTGGAATGTGGTGAGCACTTGCCCTCAAGAGGAATCCCAAGGTGATTCTTTAGGGAAGCAATTCTGTCACAGCTGCCTCTCAGGGACAGGCCTTGGAGCTTCAAGGCAGCCCATCACCTGTCCCAGGCATCTGCTGAGTCCCTGGGGCTGAGGGAGATGGGGGGGTTCCTGGGTCTTCCCTGTTTGTCCCTGGTGAGAAGCAATGGTAGCTCTGCCTTCCATATGCTTCTCAGGATGCCAAGAGGCCTAGGAACCCAGAAACCCCCTTGGAGGAACTGCACTCACAAGGCTTTCAGGAGGGGCACAGCTCCTGATCCCAGGCCTAGGCATGCTGCTTGCTCTGTCATCCCCTCTACCCCCTCTACCCAAAAAATGCAGGTTAGGGCTTGCCATGGGACCTAGAGGCCTTGCCCTGGGCTAGGGCCTGTCCAGCAGTCACCAGGCAGACGTCCTGCATTCAAGAAACATGAAAAAGGACCCCCAAATTAAAAATAAATAGTAAAGAGAAAGGGCCCAGCAGCCCTTTTGCATCCAGCACAGCCTTTCTAACCCACCCCTGTCCCTGGGCGCTGCATGGCCTATTTGGGGGCCAGTCTACCCCACTGCCCACCCCTGTTGTCCATGAGTCCTTGGCCTCCACCAAGCACGGGTGGTCGTTGTGTGCCTGCCTTAGTGACTCAGTGGTTTTGTGAGGAGCAGAGTTTGTATGTTTTTTGGCTCAGAAACTATAATCTTCAGTGTAACAGACCAATAAACATAGCATCTGGCAACACTTGAGGCTCTGTGGGCTGCCTGTGGGAGTAGCACTGGATATTGAGAGACTGTAAGCCCCACAAACAGTAAAGAGGACCAATCCTGAAAGGCAAGGATGACAAAAAGAGAACTCAAGTTTCCAAGAGAGAGGTACTCTAGCCACCAGGCTAGAGGGTATGGGCAGTTTGGGGAGTCAGGCGATGACAGCCAAACCTTAAGCATTCAGCATCCTTGGGGGGACCTCACCCCAGAGTCATAGTCCCATCTCAGATTGACCAATGGCCCCCAGCCTATGGATGAGGTTAGGACCCTGACCCAACCCTTCTCCCTGTTTGCCCTCCTAACCTGGCTGTAGTAAGGAGTTGGAGCTAACTGCCGGCCCCTCTAGCCAGTGGGGGAGGATCCTACCCACTGGCCATGGCTCTCTCACTGAGCCCTGTCTTTGAGATGCCTGGATCAGGCTAAGGGCTGGAGGAAGTGTCAGGAGGGGTCAGACCCTACTGAGGCATGGGAAAAGCCTGAAAATAACAGGTTCCCACCTCATCTCTTGCCCTTCCACCACCTGAGTGCCACTGGTTCCATCATCCATGGCACCAGGTAGAGGACTCCAGTTACCTGTTTTCTGGCTCTAGAGGACACTGGCTTTCTGGACATTAGGTCTCTGTCAACTCAGAGCTGAAAGTCCCAGCCCATGGCCCTAGCAGCCTGAATTCAGCTTTTAGAACAAAAGCAGACTAGTGTGGCCAGAACTGCCCATGCAAAGAAATTAGTTGACACAGAGTTCTGGGGCCAGAGAACTTGATAAGCCCTCAGGGGAACACTCCCCATCCCCCAGCTGATTCTGTTGCCTGGAGGAATCAGAATTCCCTCTGCTGTGACATAAAAGAAATTCACCAAAGCCAAGGGTAAGCTGGCCTGGGAGTGACTTAGTTCCTTCACACACTCCCATCCCTCTCTTCACACCATGGTGCTGGATTCTGGGATCAGAGTGAGTCCCCACAGCCAAAATGATGGGTCCACTGAGGGCAGGGGGCAATTTTGTGAGCAGGAAGAGCAAGACGCACAGTGGACTCTATGATGTCATCTCAGGGAATCACACACCCTGGAATTCCAATAAAGTCTTTCTCTTTTATAGAGCAAGACTAGTAGATGGAAGCAACAGGATTTATAATTGGGACTTTTGTTTTCCATTACCCTGACCACAGGACCCTCTTTTAAAGGCTCCAGCTGAGCTGGGGGAACTGAGTATAGCTTCTGCCTACGCTTAAGATTCTGTGACAGCCCTCAGTAGATACCAAGTCATCACTGCCAGGGCAGGGACCTTTTGTCCCCAATGCTGAGCACAGTGCCTGGCACTAAGTGGGCACTCAGGAAGTGTTAACCCTAACTCTACTCTTTCCCCTAAAGTGGCGCTAGTGAGTAGGGCACTGGACGTGACCAAGCTCTTCCTGGAGCTACCAGCAGAGGGAGCCCGCATCTCATAAGTGAAAAGGGCTGACGCAATTGTAGGGCAGTGGAGAGGGCTGGGCTCGAACTTTCTTGACGTTGCCTTCTCTTTAAGAGAATGGGACCCCAAGACATTTGTCGCCATCACTCCCTTCCTCAAGGGTATTCCTCCCCACCTAAGAGAAGCAGAGTCAGTTCTCTCTGCTGCGATTGGGAGTCAGACGGTGCCTGACTGGTAGGAACAGAAATAACAATACCAGGCAGCCTTGGCCAGCCTGGTCTATAGCTAGGCGCAGCTAACTGTTCCCTGACCTCACTTCCCCCACCACTTACTCCCAAGGGCTGGTTTCTCCTGGACTGTGAGGAGAGAAGATGCAGCTATGGGGACATGGATCTTCCAGGCTTGACTTTGCAGTCCCAGCTGAAAACATGGCTCTCTGGCCCCAACCTCCAACTTCTTCCCCTTTTGTACCTTTCCCTAAAAGGACAATTTTGTGGACTCCCAGCTGACTTGTAACTACAACCCCAGAAGTGGCTTCTCTAGAAGCCTTACCCTCTGGTGCTCAGATGCTGGGACAATTCACCTTTTTTACTGAATCTGACTCTAGAACTCTAGGACTGGACAAAGGGTGCCACTTGCGAGGGGAACTCTGTACTGAGTTGAGAAATCTGACTATAGCTCCTGCAAGGTGCTGTGTGACCCTTACCAGTCACTCAGTCACCTCAATCCTGTTTATCATCTCTCAGAATGGGGCTAGTTTTTGGCTTATTTACTTCACTGGGCCATTAAAAGATGAAACACGATGTTTGCAAAAATGGTTTGAGGAACCACAAAGCTTTGTAAATGCATAAGGAAAACCAGAAGTGCAGTTTTCAGTCTATTGGGGTACCAGGATCAGAAGTGGAAGATTCTACATATTTTTATAAAATTGACCAGCATTTTATAAGTTGCTTGAGTACTATGTCCCACAAACAGGGTCAGGACAGGTGATCCTTTGCTGCTTCTTGCTGGGTGTCTTTCCCCATAGGCCTCCGCCTCCTTTTGCAAGAAAATGACCCAGATGCTGCAGGCTGGCAGCTCCATCTCAGGTTTCAGTGCAGGTTTATTTCAGTTTTATATTTTATTCCAGGCAAGTGCTTATTACATGGATAGTATTCATGTCTCAATACCTAAAGTCTTGGAGCATGAACAGCCACTAGAATACAGTTCAATAGTAAAAATACAATATGTACAAAATTAGGGTTTTTGTAGGTTTTTTTTTTTTCCCACACAGCAGATGTATCCAAACACATAAAAATCTCTACAGTCTGGGGTCGCTACAGTTTATATTTCAGGAAACGGAGACACAGTGACCGAGTCCTCACTGTAAACAAGGGCCACCTCTTTGGGGTTGGGGGTAGGGTCCTGGGATGGGGGGAGAAGCAGCTGTTCCTGGAGAGAGCAGGGGTTATGATGACCCCCCAATACCCTCCAGGCATTCCCTGCCCTTCTTTGGCCCCCCAAGGAACCAACTTCCCCCTTTCCCCGAGGTAAAGACTCCCAGCCAGTGAGCCACTCTGAACACCAAAAGATAAAACACGCATGAGAGGTAAGATGTGTGTGTGTGTGTTTGTGTGTGTCCCAGGCTGGAAGGGCTAGGGAGGGAAGGGGTAGGTGGTCCCACAGGGTGAGGACAGATGTGGTCCTGACAGCTCTCAGGGGGGATATGCCCAAGGAAGGGCTGGATGGTGGCTGCCAACTCGGGCACACAGCATCACAGCGTTCACAAACAACAACAAAAACAACAGCAACACCCATCGTCACCAATCTGGACATAGTCATTCGGCACTAGATTTGGAGGCCCCCACTGCTGGGGGGCAGGGAGAGGGAGGGGCAGCAGGTGGATGATGAGGTATCTGTGCAGGCCCGGGGGGCAACTGGCCTCAGGATGAAGGGAGAGGTTGATAGGCTGAGGGGAGGGGCAACTGCGGACTGTTCCCAGTACACCAGGCCTGCCCAGACTCTCCCTCTGCTCTTTCCATTGTTGTCACAACGGGAGCAGTGAAGCTGGCTGGAGGTGTCAGGTGGAGGTGGCTGCAGCTGCAGGAAGGCAGCAAGCTTGTGAGGTGGGACGACTGTGCTGCAGGGTACAGGGCTTCCTCCTACAGGCCTCTGCGGTTGGAGACCTGGTTTGTAGCCTCCCTTTCCCCACCCCCAGAAGCGACAAATAAGAAAACCGTCCCCTGGGAGGTCTCCAGGACCAGGAAGGAAATGAGAAGGAGTTCTTAAGCATCTAAGGAGTCTTTATGTCAGGAAGGAATCTATTCAAGACCTTTGCTGGCCTCCTCTATGCCCAGAGGGCACTCTAGAAAATCCTGACCCCCTGGCCTGCCCAGCCTGTCACCGCAAACTTCACACCCAGGGACACTTGCTTCCTGCCCTCACACTGAAAGGCCCTTGGTGAGTGTGTCCAGGCGGGGAGCTGAGTGTGTCTAACACAAGGCCACTTGTAATAAATATCCACATACAAGGAGAAGCCAAAGCAGTCTGCCAAGGCAGAGGCAGGAAAAGCAGCATCCCCTGACACAGGACCCCTTACTCCTCCCCAACCCAAGTTCAGCCTTGTCCTTGACCCAACTCAAGAGAAAGCTAGTGGTGCACAGCAGCCCCCTCTAGGGAAGGGACTCAAAACCGCCCACTGGAGAAGGGGAGATACTCAGGGGAAAGACAGGACAGAGGCAGACAGGCTGGAGCAGAAGTAGCAGCCCTCCTCCACAGTCACTAACATCCCAGCTCTGGTCCCAGCCCCCTCTGTATAGGTCCCAGGCTTGTTTGGGGAGGGGTTTAGGGCTTAGCCAAGCCTCTAGATTTTAACTTCCTGCATGCCTCAACTATGTGGTTTCTAGGCTCCCGGAAGCAAGACAAGATGCTGGTCCATCTCACAGGTGGCACCCCAACCCACAGGCCTCCAGGCCCACCCATCCCTTGCGGGTGTGCACAGCACTGAGCAGAAGTCAAGGCAGTAGGAGCGTGAATGCAGGACAGCGCTCCTCCTCCCTGCCTTCTGGAAGTTGAGAGCTAAGCCCAGGAATGGGGATAGAGGTCCAGAGTAGCTCTCCTCCCCGTCTAGACCCAGGCTGCAGAGGACAGGGGAAGGAGGCAGGACAGCAAGCCCCGCTTCCCAACTTCCACAGCTAACCTGCCCTCCTGAGGTCAAGAGCCCACTGGAAGGGCTGAGTTGGGGGATGGGCCTCGGAAGCTTGGCAACAGCCTGTTGATAATCATTTAAAATAGTTTCTATGGTAACGAGTCAGTGACTGCAACTGGGTCAGTAGAGTCCCAGGCTGGGGCACCCACCTGTCTGGAGTCCAGACCAGCCACTTCCTAGGATCTGTCACCTGTGCTCACCACCTCCTTCCCCAGTTTTCTGGGCAGAGTGGCTTCAGTTTTGTTTTCCCTATTTCCCCTCCAAAGACCTGGGAAGAGAACACTGAGGCTCCAGAGAAGAGGCCTGGGGCACTCAGCCACCTCACCAGACAGCAATAGCAGCAGCAGCACAGGAAGGCAGGTAGGGGAGGGGAGAAGTCAGAGAACATGACATCCACATCGCACTGGTTTCAAGGGACAGGATGGGGGAGCAGGAACAGCACTGGAGCTGGCACCAGCCTGGACAGGCGGCACGTTCTACCAGCGTCTCTCTCATCAGTATCAAGTCCTAGTGCAGCAGGGTAACCCCTGCCCTGTGCCCAACTCCCTGGGGGGCCCCTCCCTCCCCTGGCTCAGAGTCTCTGCACCCCCTTCCCCTAGGAGG